AGAAACCACTGTTCTGACATTTAGTTGCATGGAATAAATAATCTTGCCTCTTTTGTGCTTTTTGTAAATGACACACATAACAGTATATGCTAGTCTGTGTCTCATTTTGCTGAACATTGTGCTTGTGAGATTTATCATGCTTCTGTGAGGAGAAGACCAGTCATTCTCAAGTTGAACACTATTTTGCATGAACAGACTACAATTTATCCATTCTACTGCAGGTGGATGTTTGATGATCTTGTAAGTTTTGGCTATTATGGGTAGTGTTGCTATGAACATTCTCATGCATGTCTTTGGTTGCACTTAGGTCCAGCTCTGTCTGACTCCAAAGACCCTGCTCTTCGTCACTCCCCAAACTATTTTTAGATCTTGGACAGAATTCATGCCTCACTGCCTGCAGCAGAGCCTCGCCTATGTATAGGAGTGGTGTTGGGAGGGGCATGGATTAGTAGAAGGAGCTGATTTCTGTCCTGTAAGAACAAGCCCCTTTCCACCTTCAAAGCAGAAAGGGAGAGAAGAGGCATGCTGTATCTATGTCTTTGTCCAAGCATATGAGCAAATGCCAACACAGGGCTTTGGTGCTTGGAGTGGGCAGGGTATGTGTGTCAGGTTTACAGGGAATTCCTCCAGATATGGATGAGATATGGATGACATACAAGATGTAAACTTCTGTTGATTTGTCAATGATGGTTCTTTTTTTAAATTTTAATTTTTTGGTGGTACTAAAGTTTGAACTCAGGGCTTCACACTTGCTAGACAAGAGCTCCACCACTTGAGTCATGCCTCCAGCCCTTTTTGCTTTGGTTGTTTTTGAGCTAGGGTCTCACTTTTTGCCTAGGCCAGTTTAGACCATGATCCTCCTGTTTTATGTGAAAGTTGAGATGACAGGCACAGAAAGTTCTTTAAATTTTTTTGGAATTACTTATTTTTTTTTTGTTTTGATGGTCAAAATAAAAATTATGAACATATTATGAACATACTAGTCAGGACTCTTGAGTTGGTCAGACCCAACTCAAACTTGCTTAAGGAAAAAATAAACAAAACCAGTTTTGGTTCTTGTAAAGAAAGGCCTACAACATATTGGGCTTCAGGCCTGGCTAATCTAGGTGTTAAAACCACAGCACTAGAAATTAGTCTCTGTCTATCTCCTGGCTCTTATTTCTTCATTTTATTTCATAGACAAGATCATCTCTAATAGTAAAAATAATATTTTTCATCAAGTCCAGACTTTTAAAGTTTGATGACATGTAAGAGGAAGAGAGGGTTCTTCTCCTAATAATTCTAGTGAAAAATCCCAGCATTCACCCTAATTTAACTCAGTTTGCATGGAATTTATCACTGTGACCAGGAGACTGGCATGTCCTAACTGGCTAAACTGAGTCATGTGATCTCAGATGGGGATGAACTCCACCCAAATGACATGGACTGAGATTGGTGGTGAGACTCATTTACCTGCAAAGCTGGATGGAGGGGTTCAGTAAATGAGGGTCAAAACCAACAGAGGACCATTAGAGAGCTTTCCTTGTCCTGATAAGGGATAGAAGAGGGAAACTAATGAGAAGGTTCTAGTACAAAAGACTATAAGCTGCACCTGGGGACTGTGGTATGCCTGCAAGGTCTGGGTAGAGGATGGACAGGATTATGCCTTTCTAACCAATCTTGGTTCTAGACACTGTCCTGACTTTCTCTTGAGTCTATTTCAAGCTCAGCTAAAACTTCATGGCAGCTGGAAAAGGGAGCAAAGGAACTGGAAGGAGTGGGTGGGGAGGGCAAATGGCAGCCAAATCTTCTGAGCCATCCTTGTGGCAAATATCCCACTTGTCAGAGATGTGTGAGGGCCCCCTGCCTTCTAAGCAGCCGGATTTTGAGACATTTGCAAAGATGTTCACCCTGCATAAAAAGTGTGCCTTTCGATAATTATGTAAATTAGCTGGCAATTAGATAATGTCACTTACTTTTCCTCTCCTGCTTGATTCCTACACAACAGATAAGTGTTTTGAGCTTTGGCACCAACCTGGGCCTTCCATGTGGGCTCTGGGACAAACCACCTGTGTCCATGACTGCCTGTGCTTGCCTGTGGTTCAGGCAAGGGTGGCCACTGACTGACTGGGTAATGAGGCTTTCTCTGGCTCCCTGTTTCTTTAGCCTGGCATGCCCTACTAGAGGGCCAAAGGATAAAGGGTGAATCCTGGGGACAGTTGGCTGAGGCCTGGGATATTTACTATAAGTTCACCTCTAGCTTTTGGACATGGAAATGTCCACAAACCAAGAAAGAAATGCAAGGGCTATAGGAGATAATGTCAATAGATCATGGAGTGTCAAGTCTGGATGAACCTACCATTACTGAGTTACATCTCCCTGGCACTTGTAGAGAAAGCTTAGTTTTCCTCAGTAAGCCTTGTGATCCTCCATGATGGGGGACACTGGTGTCTCCAATGCTGGTTTAGGCTGGAGGGGATGAAAGTCTGAAGGGAGAGGCTCAGCCACAGGATAGAGTGACCACCCCAAAGCAGGCTGGGTAAATTCCCGTGAACCTCTCTCACAGAGGAGAGTTCCTAGGCAGCAGAGTTCTTCATTCATGGGGTTTCCTAGACCACTAAGCAGGTACCATTTTGCCCTTTGGGGTCAACTGAGGTTAGGGAGACTGAGGATTGCTGTCGTTGTATACAGTGGGTTTGTATGGAAGCCTCTTCATGGAACATAGGTCAAAGGACCGCAAGGTTGCTCTTCAGGTCTCACTGTTCTTTAGTTTTACAAATGTTTTCTGAATTCCCTTTCCATGTCCCCAGGGTAGGCACAGTGGTGAAGCAGTCACTTCTGTAAGAAGCCTGGCATTAAGCAATGTAGTTCCAGAGCTTGGGCTCTCAATCACTGTGCTTTACCATTTCTAAATTACACTTTTCCTCCACCAGTTTGTGACGCCCTTGAGGTTGAGAAATGTGTCTTACTCTGCTTTGGTCTAGGAGTGCTTGGAATAGACAACTGGATTGAAAATTCCTCTCTCTGATGGGATGCTGCCTTTCGATTTCACTGGCATATCTCACCCAATACAATGTCCTCATTTTCAGAGATTGTGTCACATTTCGTGACCTAGCCTCCTGCTACGGACCTCTGGCTTCACGCATTCCACCCACTCCACTCCAATAGCATTGGTCTCCTTTCTATTATTTGAATACACCAGCCTATTCCAGACTCAAGACTTGCATTGGCTGCTGCTTCTGGAACATTCTTCTTGGATATTTACATGGCTAATCCCCTTACCCTCTTTCATGTCTTTCCTTAAATCTCACTTTATCATAGATTCTGATTTTTGGTCTTGTTCTACTTCTGTCATGTAAATACCCCGAATATAGTTGACTTCGTGCTACTAAAGTGACATTAACCCGCACAAAAAAATCGAACTCTTAGCAGTTAACTCACATAAGCCCATATGAGTTGGTGCTAGTACACTCACGTGCCTGCTGTGCCTATGTCCCACCAAGCATCCTTTGCACCATTGGGGGTACCCATGCCACACTTTAGGAAACACTCCTTGGACAAAAAAGGCTTTCCTCATGTTGAATTTAATCAGTCTCTTGTTGGTTGGACTTGTTTGTTCATGGGGGAATAGGGTTTGTTTCTGGTAAGAGAAAACATCTTCCTCTTCAAAGGCTGGTAATAATTGTCTTTGCTTGATGTGGTCATCATAAAAATAGGGCACAGTGATGCTCTCTCTGATGGAAGCCATGGTGAATTACCAAGTATGCCAAGCAATAAGCAGCTCTTGGATATTACACTCTCTGCCTCATCTCCCTGAACAGAGAACTCACGATGTTGGCTAGGAGGACCAGTGTATACCTTCAGAAACCAGAGCATTAACTCAACTGAGTGCTGGTGTCTTTCTAACTGTTAGAAAGTACACACAGTATTTGCTAGCTCTGTGGCATTTCTTAACTATTTAGTTATTATAGCCTGCAGTTTTCATAAATTTTCTAAGTATTTTGTCTTTATATATTATACTCACTCCAATGACACATACATTCACACGCAGCCACACACTCACAACCCCTCTTCCCATTCTCTTCCATTTCAGAAATAAGAAAGGAAGAAACCTAATGTTTATTGGTCACCTACTATGTATAAAGTCTCATGCTAGGATTGTCCCATCATTTAATCCTCCTCTCAGTCAGGAAAAAAAAAGCTATTATTTTCCCTACTTTTCAAATGAGGAAATAGAAGCTCAAATAGATTATGAAATTTTCTCAAGGTTTCATTTGCAGGAACTAGAATTCAAACTGAGCATATTTTATTTTTTAACCTTAATGTCTCCCTCCCCCCCCTTTTTTTTTTGCAGTACTAGGGATTGAATCCAGGGTCTTATGCGTAGTATACACTCTACCACTTATGCTATGCCCTCAACCCCAGTTTTTGATAAGAACTTCCCCCAATATTTAGTAAGAGATGAGGGCTGTTGTGTTCATTCCTCGCCTTGTAATTTATTTCCACTGGCTTTTTTAAAATAAATATTTCCTTCAAAAATGTAAGGTCAGGAATCTGCCTTAGGCCTCCTGTACCCAAGCAGTAGGTTGTCAAGTTGAAAACGAAAAAAAATCTAAAAAAATTAATGTCTATAAATAGGTAAATAAGGAAAAATTATGTGTGAGTATTTGAGTGTTTAAATGTTAGTACTTAAATATTGGCTATGTGACCTTATAATATGACTATTATAAAAATGTGCTAATAAAGCTTTGGGGACTTTTTTACATGAGTTTTTTTCCTTTCACCTGAGTTCTGCTCATGTGAGTGTGTCATTAGGAGCTGGGCTCAGGGTCCTGTGTGGGCTGTGGAGGAAGCAGGCCCACCTCCTGGAAGCACTCAGTGCTGTAGGAGTCACTAGAATAGTGTGGCTTGCTAGCAGTCAGCACTCCATCAATGTTTATGAAATCAGATGTAATATTTTCCTGACATGTGCCCCTAATCTTCCTCTCTTTTTCTCCTTTCTCTCTCCCCAACTTCCACAGGTCTGTTCTTTGGAGTTCTGGGAGGTAGGTTATGGGCAGGACCACCTCTGGCTGGACCATGAAGCCTGAGACTGTTTCTACTCTGCGCTGGGCCCTGCTCTGCCTGAGCACTCAGCTGATCACTGTTCCCCTTCCTGAGGCCTGCTGCTGTTAGGAGGTAGAACTTCAGGACTGGTCCTTGGCCTGTGTCTACCTTTCACCTGGCTCACGTCACTCCTCCGTCACGGCACCCCTGAGCCCAGCCCTGTCCGAGGCCTCCTTGGCTGGGGAGTTTGGGGGTACTCTGGGAGGAGTATATCACTGAAGGCTTCTTCCTAGTCTGTGCCCCTTCTCCTCCTTGAATCAAGGCCTCCGGATCCACATGGATAGCTGAGATCTTTTCTTGGAGAAAGACACTTCTTCCTCACTCCAGTCTACCCTACTGTCCCACTTGACTTTCCCCTGTTTCCTCTGTCTCTCTGTTGGATTTCTTGTTTGTGTGCTGTCTTGTTCTCTTTCCTCCTTCCTCACGCTCCCGGTATTCGTGTGTTTGCCTCTTTCCTCTTGTGTGCTCTCTGTCCCCCACTCTGTCTTGTCTCTTTCTCTCCCTTCCACCTCCAAGGGAGCTCCTCTCCTGAGGGCTGTTCCCCAGCCTGTCTGCCCATTTGGCTCTGTCCCACAAGCCACAATGAGCTTCACCCTCCACTCCGGTTTTTTCACCCTGAAGGTGAGCATCCTGCTGGGGTCCCTGCTGGGGCTCTGCCTAGGCCTTGAATTCATGGGCCTCCCCCACCAATGGGCACGTTACTTCCGCTGGGATGCCAGCACACGCAGCGACTTGAGCTTTCAGTTCAAGACCAATGTCTCCACGGGGCTGCTCCTCTACTTTGATGATGGTGGCGTCTGTGACTTCCTTTGCCTCTCCCTTGTGGATGGCCGTGTTCAGCTCCGCTTCAGCATGGACTGCGCTGAGACTTCTGTGTTGTCCAATAAGCAGGTGAATGACAGTAGCTGGCACTTCCTTATGGTGAGCCGTGACCACCTGCGCACAGCGCTGGTGCTTGATGGTGAGGGTCAGTCTGGGGAGCTGCAGCCCCAGCGGCCCTATATGGATGTCGTCAGTGACTTATTCCTTGGTGGGGTTCCTGCTGATATTCGATCTTCTGCCCTGACCCTTGATGGAGTACAGGCCATGCCCAGTTTCAAGGGATTAATCCTGGATCTCAAGTATGGCAACTCGGAGCCTCAGCTTCTGGGGAGCCAGGGTGTCCAGTTGGAAGCTGAGGGACCTTGTGGTGAGCGTCCCTGTGAAAATGGTGGAATCTGCTTCCTCCTGGATGGCCACCCCACCTGTGACTGTTCTACTACTGGCTATGGTGGCACACTCTGCTCAGAAGGTAATGCCCTCTCCCTTCCCCTCTCTTACTAGACACCCCCCACCTACTGCACTGAGTGAGGACCAAGAGGCCTGGTAGAAATCAGCTCAATGTAAAAGTCTTTTTGGCTGCATGTTAGATAATTGGCCTTTTCCCTGAGGAGGTGGTGGAAATCCTTTGCTGCTCTCAGATCTCAGCAAGAAGAGAATACTGGCTACTCAACCATAGTCAGCCATGGCTCTGCACTCAATTCACAGGGGTAGCTGGAGAAGACTGCAGAGTCTGTGCTCAAGATCAGCTCCTTTTCCAGCACAGCTTGGCAGGACAAACACAGAACAAGAAATGAGAAAGAAACTGGCTGAGTGGTTATCTCTGTCCCTTTTGACCCTTTGAGACTTGTACCTGGGTGATTGATGGCAAAGTCCCTATCACTTTCTCCTTCCTCCAAAGTCCGCATCATAAGCAATGCTTGTGCAGAAAATGAGGGTGGATGGACTGCAGGGTCTATGTATAGACTAATGATAATCCCGGTCCTTCGCTTGTATTCCTCTCCCATCTCCAGTTTCCTGGCAGAGGTAGATGAAGAATCGGGGTAAGGAACTCTGTCATCCTTGTTCTAGCAAGAAAGGTTTGTCACATGAAGCTCCTCTTTGGATGTAGTTCCCTTTCCCGTTCTCTCCACATGCTAAGAACAGTGTGAACAGGCACAGGGATGACCAGAGCCTTGTTCAGCCAAGCCCCCAAGCTATTCAACTATATTCAAATTCGACTATAGCTTCCCAGATAGAGGAAGGAGAGACTCTTTCCTGCACAAGCACTTTGACTGCCCTCACCTTGTGCACTAAATTCTCTTTGAGATTAGATTTGGGAGAAGTAGCCAAGATTTTTAACTTGATAAATACTTAAATGCAAATTTCTGGACTCCTGGACACCACAGGCTTAGGTTTGGGCATGAGGAACTACTTGGAATCACCAAGTGAGTGTGACTCTTGGGGAGTTAGGATAAGATGGGGGCAAGAATGGCATTTCTCCTCTCCTTCTTGGGTTATGCTTTGGATTCTTCTAAGTGACATTTTGAGTTGCCACCCCATGCTGACCTCTTCCTGGAGGTGGAGGCATGATATAGGCTAGACCAGCCTCGGCCATACAGTAGGATCACATTGGGGGAATTTTCAAACTTCCAGGCCCCATCCAGGCATATTAACTCATAATCTCTGGAGGTGGGATCCAAGCAGCTATAGAACGCTAAAGCTTTCCACATGATTCCAATGTGCAATCAAGGTGAAGCACCAGCTGGTACAGGTTTGAGGGAGGTCAGGGGGTGGTCAGATGAGCGTCTTATCCCTGGCTCCTTGGATCTCCCAGGTAAGGACCTACTGCCTTGAGATTTGTAATTAATGATTGTATTTGCAGGTATTCATTAAGCATTTTTGGAATAGTCCAATTCCTAAAGCAAGTTGTGGTTGATGTGAACTTTAGCTACTGCTAGCTATTTTTGAAAATGTATATTTTTAAAATAAAAATGAAGCTTATTCCACAGGTGCATGCTGGAGACTCAGATATACTGAAGATGGTGTTGCAGGTCATGCATGGGCTGTTGGGGAAATGTTTTCCTGGACTCTTCTTCCTTCCTCTATTGAGATGGATATCACATCTCCCTTCCCAGTGCATGGGCTGTCGAAGAGGGAGGTGTCAGACACTTATCTTGTCCTTTAAGAGCTTTTGTTCCCCACTGGCCCCAATAGAAAAGGGAGTAGAAAAGAGGGGCAGGGGCGATCCCACCCCATAAAACCATCTTGGGAATGTGGTTATTGAAATGCTTTTCACAAGCAGGTGCCTTTTGGAGCTGACTGACATGCTAAAGTTTCTTGGCTTTGAAGAAAGTTCTGCCGAAGACGCTGACATGATCACTTGTTTTCTCATTTGCCTGAAGGATCTGTTCTGTTCTCAGAACTTGTATTGAAAGCTGGCATTCTTCCTTTCTAGGGACCATGGTGTTTGCAAGTGTGTTGTTAACTTGCTGATTATCCCTGATTGCATTTTTTGTGTTGAAAAAGAACTCATTTCCTCTGGGCAGGTTTGGATCAGCACTTTTTCTGCAGGAAGAATCTGTATACTGTAAATGTATATATACAATTTGTCTTTTTTATTTATTTTTGTATGCGTGTATTTTCCAGTCTCCAGTGGAATTTCTTCGGAACAGATTTTATACAGTTGGCTTTTTTAAATAGCTAAATGCAATATGTATATTTCAATAATTGTTCTTTCTATAAGGTTCAGGTCATCTTTTGGCTATGAATTAATAACTATTTGTAGAAGGCAAGCATGTAGAATAACTCATTTATTCTCCTGATACATAAGTAGAGTAAATAAACTCTGTTGCAACTGTAGATTTGGCTGGCTTGGAATGGAGCAGTGCAAAGACTGAGGTGAGGATGTATGTTGGGGGAGGTAACAATTTACTGTCAAGAACTTGGAACCTGTAGGTCCCAGTAATTATTATCATGCCAAATCAATCACAAAAATGCATCACAGACCAGTAGAAAATAACTGTTGCCTCTACCCATAGTTAACTTTAAGAGTAAGTGGAAAAACTCACCTATAATTTGTTAAGGAAAAGATAAATCACAGAAGCTGCTAAGTGTCAAGCAGATCTGAATAAAAAAAGATAAATAGCTCAAATGCCATTCCATTTTCCTAAAGATAATGTGAAGTGGATAGTGAGAATGCATTCACTCCCTTATATTGCACATGTCATAGACCTGAAACCAGAGGACTTATGCCCAGCAGTGGGTCCTGTGTCTCAACCACCTGATTATCCTGATTTGCAGGATGAATCCTTCTATTTGATTGTGTGAAGGCTTGCACCTGGCATGGAAGATCATTTTTTAACTTCCTGCTTTAACAGTTGCAAGAGAAGGGAGAGGAGGGTGGACTCCTGCAGTGTCACATGGATGTGGTTGGGGCTTGTTGGAGGCATCCTTTTCAGTCCATTAGCTTGTAGCCTGCCCGCAGTGTTGCTGTTTCCTTGTCCTATTTGCCTCTCCATGCCTTGATGGCTCTAGCATGTCTCCATGCTGCATCCCAGGAAGAATGCACAGATGAGTCCATCTCTTTTATGTGCTTTGGGTCATTCTGATTCCCTATTGAGAAGACCTAGAAGATACCAGAGATAGTTGAGGTGGGAGAACTGGACCCAGCAGTAAGAGGTAATAGATAAAGAAGCTCCTCTTTCACTGGGTGAAGTTTAGCTCTGGCCTCAGACTGAATGCCGCAGAGCTTATTTGGGAAAACCTAAGACTCCTAATCTAATTAACACCACATTGAATATTATGGCTTCTAATGGAAGGGTAGAGAAGAGGTCCCAGATTTTTACTTCTAGGTGTTATGTTTATAAATAAAATGCTCTGGTGTTCAACCAAAATGGGTCTTGGAGGACAGAAGAAAGAATTCAAAATAATTCTTAAAATTATGCACGTCTGTGTTATGGCACAGCGTCTTCACCTGTTTTTTATTTGGCTCAGTCCTGTTATGTCACCCTGAAGCTTAGTGACCAGTGAAGACATGTCCTTGCTCCCTGTAGGGAAAAGTCCCCTCGTGTGTCATTGAGAGTTTGTCATTAACTTCGAATGAATTTAAACTTGATTTTTTAAGAAGGCATTCTTAGTTATGAATGTGCATGTATTGAATTTCTCAGCAACCTTATGGTTGTGAAGCATTGATTCACTGCCAAGGTATATAAATTTCAGTCTCAGTTTTCCTGAACAGTTCATTTAACATGAAGTCAGCCTGTTGCAGGGAGAGTGGGGGCCAGGGAACAATGGAGGAGGCTTCATGGGTTGCTCTCTCCTGTGTTGTATATCATTTGGGTGACCACACTTTTAGGTTAATTCAGTAAAGAGGCATGGCATCCTAGTCCATTGGGGGAGGGAAGAAGTTGGTTTATTATTTGTTACCTTTTCTTTCTAACTTGGGCAGCTGCCCATACCAGAAGCTGTTTGTCTTGAGTCTCAGCTGCTATGTCTTCAGTTGTTGGAATCCTATAGTTAAGTAGTGGAGTGTGTTTGTGACAGAGACCATTCCCCATCCCCCTGATATCTGAAGCTGACACACTACTCAGGTTGGTTTGATTGATGTCTCAAAACCACTGTGTGGCCTTCCCATGCCTTCCTGAAAGTGAATTTCAATTACCTTTCTTTTTATTGAGAATTGTGCAGCTTTCCCCCGTCTCTCAATGTCAGAACAAGGTGGAGTGGCATACACCGAGAAGAGACTGCCTATTCTGAGCATTTACTGAGGTCCAGAGACATCAGTCATATAATTAAGGTACCCAGTTGGACCTGCCTTTTGGGGGCACTTGAGTAAAATCACAATCACCTCACCTTCTTCTCCCCAGTGGACGCACTGTTGGATTTGTAACATAGATCCTACTCTGTGTCAACTCTGAAGGCTTTGGAAAGATGGGGACACAGGAGGGTGGTGAGTAATCATATGTTCTCCCTGGTACGGACAAAGTAGAACAGAAGCAATGCCTTACAATGTACACAAAGGAGGGACTGATGCTTCCAAGTCTTGACTCCCTACCTAGCATTCAGTCTTTCGATGGGATCAGCCCCAGCTCTCCATCAGCCCAGCCAGCCAGCCAGCAGGGGCTGTCGCTAAACGGAGCCTGAATAGGGGTCTGATTGCTCCTTTTTCCTACTCTCCTCCTGATTACCAAGTGAGATTTCCTGGGGATGCTGTATGCTAAATGACAGAACAGCCGCCTGCCACTTGCTCCAATTATCCCTCTTTTTAACTGCTGAGGGAAGAACAATTTTTCTAATCTCCCCCACCTCCCATAACGACTCTGCCTCCTTTAAAGAAATAAGACCCCTCTTCCTTATTCTCCTCCCTTTAGTAGGGGCGAGAGCAGTCTTTTCCCTTTGCAGAGACTGCACACCAGCTGCAAGCTGCGGAGGGGGTGGGCAGTGGGCAATGATTTGGTCCCCATTCAGCGAGGTCAGGCAGGCATTTTGCCA